GCATCACATAGTGTGGTCTGTATCCCCTACACACCCCTTCTGACACCCCTGAGGAGAATCCCACTATTTCCCTATTCAAACTTTGTTTATTGTATTATTTACTGCAGAAACACTGTTGCAAGTGACATTAAAAGGTTATGTTTCTCCAGACCTTTTTATCTTCCCAATTTATTGATGCTTCTAAAAAATCTTCTGGTACACAGAAGACAAGGTGGAAAGGGGGGCTGGAGATCATAAAAAGGCTTTGCAAAGACTTTTTGGCAGAGGATTTGTTAACTGAGGTATGCCTGTATCAATAATGACTAGTAGCTTTTTCTATTGTTATCTTCCAGAAATTTGTTTTTAATCCTCTTTGTAAAGCTTGTTCAAGTTGGTGGCCATCACTACCTCTTATGATAGCAAAATCCCTTAGCGCTATGCAATGAAGTACTTCCTTTGATCTGTTCTGATTGCACTTTTCTGCAAAAAGCCAAAGTACAAAACAAAAATTGGGGGGATTTTAAATGTCTCTAATCTTAAACCCCCCCTCTTTTTTTGCTTCAAAGATCTATAGGTTGTTTTGTGCAAAAATGAACTTCCTGCAAAAATGAATTGCTTTAAAGGATTATTTTTCCCCAGTTTGGTATCATGTATTAATAATAAAAAAACCAAGAGAATGAAGGCTTTACTTTGAAAGCAACATTACCCACCACTGCCAGAACTGCAAATACAATAAAGACAATCATTTGGCATAGCTAAAAAGCCAAGGAAAGGGGAACGGCTGTGTCAAAGAGCCTTGGCCACCCATGGGTGTATCTACACTGTAAAAACAGTGCAGTTTGACACCACTTTAAGTTTAACTCCAGCCTATGGACTCTTGAGATGTGTAGTTTGTTGGTGCTTCATAAAATTATAAATCCCAGGATTCTGTAAGTGGTGTCAAACTGTCTTATTTCTGCAGTGTAGATGCAACCCATGTAACCCTCCTCTAGGGCAGGGATTAGCCATGTGTTCTACATCACAAAAGGCAGTCCTCCATTTGAAGATGTTTTCCATTAGAAGGGATGCCCTTTCCTTGTCCAGTGGAGGAACCCTAAGTCAGAAGAGTACCCAAGGGCTTGGAAGTTGCCTTTCAAAAGTGAAATACATGGATCAGGTCACCCAAGCCACTACCAGTATGGTGAAGTGTATTGTATTTTTATTGCTATTTAAAAAATAATTAATTAAAATTAAATGAAATTATTTCATCAGTATGGATATTTCAACTTCTAAATTTGCAGATGCAAATTTGATGCAAATCACAGGGGGGCCTTCCACACTATACATTTGTAGTGCTATGATTCCGTGTTTAAATATTTGAAGGGATGTCATATCGAGGAGGGAACAAGCTTGTTTTCTGCTGCTCCAGAGACCAAGACCCGAAACAATGGATGCAAGCTGCAAGAAAAGAGATTCCACCTCAACATTAGGAGGAACTTCCTGACAGTAAGGGCGGTTCGACAGTGGAACACACTCCCCCGGAGAGTAGTGGAGTCTCCTTCCCTGGAGGTCTTTAAGCAGAGGCTGGATGGCCATCTGTCAGGGATGCTTTGATTGGGAGTTCCTGCATGGCAGGGGGTTGGACTGGATGGCCCTTGTGGTCTCTTTCAACTCTATGATTCTATGATTCTATGATTCTACTTTAATCCTTGGATTTATTTTTTGTTTGAGGAGGTGCTGGAGCTCTTCATCTGAGAATTCTAAATACCTCTCCTTAAACTTAAAGCCCCATGATACCACAGGATGGTACCATGGACCCTTTCATACTACCAACTTAAATTTCATGGAAAAATCCTACAGAAGCCTGGGATTTGCAGTTTAGGGAAGGGCTTTTAAAATTCCCAGCTCTTCTGGTGCCTTTAATTAAACTTCAAAACCCAGAGGAGTCCACAGGGTGCAGCCATGATATTCAGTGGAAGATAGCACTATAATTGTGTAGTATGAAAGGGTTCCTTATCAGTTAAACTGGAATCATAGGCTGGGATTCTGCATTGGGAAACATACCTCCATCTCCCAATGCTAATTCCCAAATACTTTTTCAGCAGAACAAGCTCCCCTCACCACAATTACTGGAGAGCAAGGTAAAGAGCACAGAGACATCCATCTCTTTTCCTTTTGCTGGAATGTTTTGGAGGCACTTTTGGTAATTGAGTGTACAACAATCATAAAAGTGAACTGCAATGTCATAAGGCAGACTGACAACATGATAACTGCTGAAAAGGATGTCAGCCACAGTGCTATAACTGTGTAGCACAAACAGGCTCAGTACATTTAGGGTAAGCTGTGCAATGCCCTGTAAGATGTGATCTCCAGCTTTTGGAAGGGAGTACTTCTGTTTGCCCAAAGCTAAAGATCACATATTTGATTTGGAAGGAAGTACTTCTGTTCCCTGAGAGTCTGAGCATTGGGCTATGACTCTGAAGAGCAGGGTTTGGATCCTCACTAAGGAGCAAATCCACTGGATGACCTTGGGCAAGTCACACTCTCTTAGCCTCAGAGAATGGCAGTAGCAAAGGCCAGCCCCCTCTGAAGAAACATGCCAAGAAACCCTGTGATAGATTCACCTTAGGGTTACCATACACTGGTAATGACTTGAAGGCAAACAACACACACTTCCGTTCCCCACAATCACAAATCAAATTTGATTGGAAATCACAATCAAAGGTACAAAGTTGCTACCAAATGAAATGGTACAGTTCTGCGGTGACAGAAAGGACTGTACCACCTCTATCTGCAAGTGGAAAACACTATTTTAGTGCCTCTCATGTGGAAGACTACATGCAGTTACCTAAGACAGCAGTAATAAAATAAGATTCCCCTGCTCAAGATAGTTCATTGCATTTCTGCAAACTTCTTTCTGTGGCATACAAGACACAATCATGAGAAACTGAGGAGTATGAGAACGTCCATGAATATACCCCATGAAACAAGGATGGTGAAAACTATGACAGCCTCTAGGGAGAAGGTGCCCATCCACCCTACAAGCTGTTCCTATTATCTCTGATCCCTGAGTAGAGATAAGAGGGTTCTTAAAGGTATTTAAATGTTAAATACCCTGCATGGAGCTCAGCTGTGCTTTGTAGGCGTGAAAGCTTCTTCATGGATTTGAGTTGTGCTTTGCAGGGAGAAAAGCTATTATCCTGGGGCTTACTCCTGAGTAGACATAGATAGAATTGAGTTGGGATTTGTATATTTGGTAGGGGCAAGCCAAAACTGAAAGAATTATATCTGGCCCTTCTCATTATGTTTTGGCATCACTCTGGTGCCTTATGCCACTCACTACTTAAATTCAGGCCTAAAGAACCTTCCAGAATCAGAACTTAACCCTGGCAGTGTAAAAGGTTCACCTTCCAGGTCTTAAAATACAGAGACAAATGTCTATCAGCCTGGTTGTTGTGGTGGGGTGGTGTTCCTTCAAGTCACTTCTGATTTATGGTGATCTCAAGACAAACTTATCATGGGGTTTTCTGGGGCTGAGAATGTGTGATTCACCCAAGGTCATCCAGTGGTTTCCATGGCTAAGCTAGGAATCGAATCCTGGTCTCCAGAGTCGTAGTCCAATGTTCAAACCACTACACCATGCTGGCTCTTCTGCTAGAGTTCCCCTAAATTTATTTCAGAATCATTTCACAGTGCCACACTTAGTCACAAAACATATATAATAATTATAATCATGGAATTCAAAGATATAGCTGTGTTAGTCTGTAAAATCAGTATGTAAAGAGATCTTGTAGCACTTTTGAGACAAACTGAAAGAAAGAAGTTGGCCGCATGAGCTTTCATAAACTTAAGTCTACAAAAACTCTTTCTTTCTGTTAGTCTTAAAGTTGCTACAAGATCTCTTTACATTAAAATCATAATTAAATTGGGGCCTTTGAGCATGTGTAGAGTGGATATAAAGCAACTCCTACAATCCTACAATCACATATATCCAGAGATAGGAGTTCTAACAATTGAACTAAAGAAAAATAGGCATGATTTGAGAAAGGTGGTTAAAGTCTGATTTAGTTATCTGGATTTTATGTACAATAGAATTTGGGGTTTGGTGCCTAGAAATTTTTGGAATACACATCAGCAACAGCATTTGTACTTCCTTTGCTTGCTTGAACTATATATAACCCATGCATTCTGTGTGAATTGTATCATTATGTAATTTAGTCCCTAGGTGAGGCTGGACTTAATTGTATATGGGGTGCAGTCAGCCATTTCCTGCTGAGATGCTGCCTTAAGAGAGAAATAAACCTCTCTGCTCGCTCTTTACTGGCATACCCTCTAAATGTGCTTCCAAACAGACAGCTCCTGGCAGTACACAAGAATTAGAGTTGCCAGGTGTCCCTTATTATCAGATATGTCCTTTATTTGAGGGTCAGAAAGCTTGTCCCTTACAAGACTGGCAGGTATCCTATATTATAACATCTATCCCCTAAAGGTAGGAAAGCTTTTCCTTTTATTGGGACTGAACAAGATGCACACATGCAAAAAAATAAATAAATCCTGTTTTGGTGGATGTGGGCCCTTCATAAATGCAAAAATATGTGCAGATTGTGCATAATGTCATTTATGAGTGTGGGCAATATGTTAATTTTAAAGAGAAGAAATAATTTTGACTATTCCATATTGCTATTCTGGAAAACCTGGCAACACTAACAAGAATATGCAAGTTTTCAGAGTCCAGGCCTAGTCTCACAACCACTTCAGCAGATTTTCTGGGCCACCTAAAAAGCAACAGAGGCTATTCCCTTCTTTCAGGAAAGCCAGTCCTGCATCTATCTACTATCATGTACTGGATTTCTTTTTTAGAGGAAACATCATGTCTTGCCTTTTCCCAACGCATGGCAAAAATGAAACCATGGCATGTGTCAACCAAGGCACAGCATCCAGCTTTCTATGGAACAAGAGGATGTAAAATCCAACTCAGGAAGACCTTTTCACATAGCAATTGTATGCCTAAATGGTTTGGAAGGGATTAGGCCCTTAAGAGAGTCGGTGTGGCATAATGGTTTGAGCGTTGGACTTCAATTCTGGAGATCAGGGTTCAATTCCACGCTCAGCCATGGAAACCCAGCAGGTGACTTTGAGCAAGTCACACATCCGCAGTCCCAGAAATCCTGTGATATGTTCACCTTAAGGTCCTATAAGTTGGAAACGACTTGAAGGCATACAACAACAAAAAACAAAACAAAACAAAACTCAAGGGGTGAATTTGCAAATGAATAAATGGAGAAATAGAGATAGGCAAGGAAGATATCACAGCAATGGTGGCTGGCAGTTCCATTGTCACTGACTGCATCCACACTGCAGAAATAATCCAGTCTGACACCACTTTAAGTTCCATGGCTCCATGCTATGGAATTCTGGGAATGTGGCTCTGCTCTGGTGCCACAACAAACTAACATTCCCTGAATTCCATAGCATGGAGCCATGGAACTTGGTGGTGTCAAACCAGATTATTTCTGCAGTGTGGATGCAGTCTTTGAGGCTCTGAATCCACTTCAGGATTTAGCTTCACATTTAAAGGCACTTGGTGGTGGTGAACTCTAACAGCCAAAATACATTCAGCACCATGGATAGCTCCCTGTGAATCTACTACTGCCCACTACCAGCTCTGAGCACAGTGGGTTTCAAGCTATTTTTCTTGGAACCAGAGGGTCCATTTAAAATTCACCATAGGCTCTGTGGCACCATGAAATACAGTGTGCCTTTGGTATCCCCTAGGGGGGTTGGTTCCAGGACCCCTGTGGATACCAAAATTATGGATGATCAAGTCCAATTATGTATAGTAGGGTAGTAAAATGTTGTCCCTTATATGAAATGGCAAAATCGAGGTTTGCTTTTTGGAATTTATATATATATATATATATATATATATATATATATATATATATATATATATTCAAGCTATGGATGGTTGAATTGTTGGATGCAGACTCCAGAGGGCTGACTGTACAGGACTTAGATTTCTGAAGTATGTTATAGGTAGAGTGCACTTTGGAAACAGCTCAGAAACTTTCATTAGTCCAAACTTCTGTGGATTAGATCAAGGACAGGCACACTGGGCCTAGAGATGTCATTGTAGTACAATTCCCATCATCCCTAGTCAGCATAGCCAGCAGTGAGAGATGATGAGAGTTGCAATCCAACAACATCTGGAGAACCACACTTTGTCCAACCTTTGGTTTAAATTGTTAATTGAGACTAGGTTATACAGTTTTGTTATTTGACAGTAGTTCACTGTGTGCACTGGGATGCTGCCAGTCCGTTTCTGAGCACAAAAGTTTTAACCTTTAAAGCCCTGAATGACTTGCAACCACCAGATGACCTGAGGGACAGTCTCCTTCCCTATTCTCAGTACTCACTTAGAAGTTTACATTAAGCTCTCCCCGAAGTGCCCCTACTAAGTTATGCAAAGTGGCATACTACTAGACAAAGAGGGTCTTTTCAGTTAGAAAAGACTCAGCTGGCACCTATAGTATGTTCTTAACTTTTATTTTTACTGTTAGAACCTGAGCTAGTGCTTTTAGACCTTGGTCATCTTTTATCCCCTGTGTTGGCTGTACTCTGTTATGTTTTTTAATTCTGTTTCATCTGTTTTGTGTTTTATTCCTCTCTTTTGTTTTATATACTTAATCTGTTTGTATAACACTCTTTGCTTGTTTGTTTTATTAGCTTTCTCTCCTGCTCTTCTTTGTC